GAGAGAGAGAGAGAGAGAGAGAGAGAGAGAGGAAGGAAGGAATGTGGGGATCAAATTGACATTTTTTTATTCTTTAATTTATATGTGTACAATAATAATATACGTTAACATTTTTATTTAGAATAGTTCTTAAATTGTAATTCGTTCATTTGCAACGATAACGAAATGCAACTCAAAAAACAAAATTTTCCAGAAAATTAATTCAAATATTTTGAATCATTAAAATATTCTAACATTAATTTTGAAATTTTGTTACAATAACTGGTAGAGCGATAAAAATACGTTTTTTCTGCTTTATATGTATCCATTTCTTTTTTACAAGCAGGTAAAAAAATAACATTTTTTCGGTTATATTATCGTTGTAGCAAATATCTATAATATATTATTTATTTTGAGATTGATAGTTATAATTGTATTTTAAGTCTCTTTTTAATATATAAAATGAGAAATTTCTTTTGATGCTATAAATCATAGATCTTATTTTTGTATTCACTTGCGTATAATAAATACTTACAAATTTTGAGAAATACCGATTGTACATTTTCTTGAGATTGAGAAATACGGATTGTACACTTTTGTAATTGTACTTTCAAAGCAATCATAATGAAATATTTATAAATATCTCAGATTATTGATTTGTACTAATTTTATTAAAAGTGTTAAGAATTAATCTTCATAATGTTATTTATTACCTGGTAGCAAGGTGTTTCCAAAATGTGTTTCTTTAGAAAAGACGCCGCCTTTTTGATCGTCGCATATGAAATTTTTGTCCTAAACACTGATTTGTTATATCCCTTTTCAATTACGTTCTACAAAAAAATATTAAACTGACTAACTTGCGTATCTTTTCCATATTTCACTGAATGTATACAATATAATGTATGGTGTATTGCGATTATTACTTCGGATAATGCAAATAATTCATTAGTAGTGTATTAATAATCGAATGGAGAAAGAGTTATATATTCTTTAATACAATTATTTTCAAAATATATAGAAATTGTATCATATTCTCTAAATTTTTGAAATGGAATTTCACTCTAAAGAGTGAAAATTGATCCATTCTTGAAAAAAAGCGGCTTAATTTTCAATCCATGAAAATAAGATTTCGTAAAAATGAGATTTCATCAAAGTGAGATTCACTCTAAAAGTTTTAAACAGTACGCGTAAAAATATAATTATGTACAATCTGCATATATACTTGATGAATATTTAGCTTTCTAATTAAGTGACTGTCAAAATCTAAAATTATGGGAGGCAATCCCGTTTGCCTAGAATCCCGATTGCACACACCACTCATGTCAGCTGGTACCTAGTAATTTTTCACTGCTTTACCAATGAGAATATTTTATTTTTAAATTAGCCAATTAGCGACGCATGTGTGCAACATGCAGTGTGTGCAATCGGAGCCTTCCTAAAATTATACCCATGTGAGATTAAAGCCTAGCCGGTTCAACGTGCGGGCCACAGTATAAGAAAATCTCCACGCATTTGATGTCTCCAGCGAGTGCATGATTGTTGTTTCTATCAGTTGCATTGCTGTCTCCGTCGAGTGCATTGCTGTTTCTATCGGTTGCACTGCTGTCTCCGTCGATTGCACTGCTGTCTCCGTCGATTGCATTGCTTTCTCCGTCGGTTGCACTGTTTTCTTCGTCGATTGCATTGCTGTCTCCGTCGATTTCATTGCTGTCTCCGTCGATTGCATTGCTGTTTCCGTCGGTTGCACTGTTGTTGTCTCCGTTGATTGCATTGCTGTTTCCGTCGGTTGCACTGCTGTCTCCGTAGATTGCATTGCTGTCTCCGTCGATTTCATTGCTGTCTCCGTCGATTGCATTGCTGTTTCCGTCGGTTGCACTGTTTTTGTCTTCGTCGATTGCACTGCTGTCTCCTTCGGTTGCACTGTTTTCTCCGTCGATTGCATTGCTGTCTCCGTCGAGTGCATTGCTGTTTCCATCGGTTGCATTGCTGTCTCCGTCGAGTGCATTGCTGTTTCCTTCGGTTGCACTGCTGTCTCCGTCGATTGCACTGCTGTCTCCGTCGTTTGCATTGCTGTCTCCGTCAGTTGCACTGTTTTCTCCGTCGATTGCATTGCTGTCTCCGTCGATTGCATTGCTGTTTCCGTCGATTGCACTGCTGTCTCCGTCGATTGCACTGCTGTCTCCGTCGTTTGCATTGCTGTCTCCGTCAGTTGCACTGTTTTCTCCGTCGATTGCATTGCTGTCTCCGTCGATTGCATTGCTGTTTTCTTCTGCTTTTTTTTCGACGGCGGGAACATGTTTAAAATTAAAAAATTGCACAAAAATCACTTGCAATTACGGATACACCGCACTAATTAAAGGGTAATGTCGGACTCGATTAATTATCGTCGTTGAATACAAGTCGCTTCTCGCAAGAATTTTGTCGTCAATAATAAATACATGTATCATTCGTTCTTTTCTGAAGCTGTGTTTTCTTTCCGACAATAAACGAAGAAAAGGAAGGAAAAGAGGGAGAAAGAGAGAATAGATATATATGTGTATTTTGTTTTTATAAACTTTGTAATCAACCAATGACACTCAATATAATATATAAATAATGAATATTTATCTTTATTTTTCCTTTACATATCTATATAATCGTCATCTTTTAAATCTTTATAACTTTGATCTTATTTTTATAATTTAATTTATTATATGTTAATAAAATTTTACAATATCTATTTAATTATTGAGAGATGATTTTACTTGTCTTTCCCTCTCTGTTTAAGTTCGAAAAATAACTTTTATTATTCTTTAACATATAGGAATAAAGATAAAAATAGTTTTGCAAGTATAATGAAAAATATTGTAAATATCAGCCTTATTGTAAATATGGCATTTTTTTCTCTATATAGTTCAACATACACATTTTGTGCACATAAAGAGAAATCAAATTCCTAATAAATTCCATCTAAAAGACAAGCACGTCATTTCTTTGGTATTTCTCTGTTGTTATCATCCAGATTTATTTCGACTATTATCATTTGAGAAATGCCGCCTCGGTAGTAGCTCTGGCAGTAGTCTCTCGGGAGCGCTGTTGGTCGTGAAGGCCCCCGGAAGTGGCGTGCTTATTGCCGCGGCGGATAACTGACTGCACTGGCACCGGAGAGGGTTTTACGTCAAGGTGGGTCGGTCACCTGGAGATAACTGTAAAATGTCATCGGCGAATGTGTGTCAGGCATGGACTTGACGGCGCGCACGACAGTGACACTCGCTGACTGGCTCGCGATCGTTCTGTCAATTATGCCGCCGCGTTCCTGAGGTGAAGGAGAACAGCCGCGTCGCACATCCAAGTCGGAGCTGACCCGACGAGGCGCACGAGGAAGTATGTAAGGAGTCGATCCCCGGACTCGAGGTCTCGGGGATTCGTCGGTTTACGCATAACTCTTTGTCGCTCGCTTCTACGCTTTCCTCCCGTCATTCTCTCCTTTCTCTCTCCCCCCCCCCCCCCCCCTCTCTCTCTCTCTCTTCGCTTTTTCCTCGCTTCACGAGAATCGCACCGGGCGTGTTGCATAGGTCGATTACGAAACTCCTTGTGCGCCGGATAAGCTACATTATAGAGGATACTTTGACGTAAGGAGATCATCGCGTCTCTCGTCGGGACGCTTCACGCATGTCATTCGGAGCGATGAATGATTCACTTGCATGAGAAAAAAATCAGCCAGCGTGGAAATAGTGAATAAGAGGCTTCACTGATGACTCTTTGACATTACGGCAGAGAGAAAGAGAGAGAGCGGGGATAATGAGTGATCTAATTATTTTTACACACAAATGACTATAATATACTGAACACATTTGTTTAGTTATTTTTATAATCCTCTCTCGTAATTAATTTATTTTTTCATTATTCCGGATATTTGTTTACACATCTGCTATACATCTGGCTCATTTTTTCTATCTTGGTACTCTAAAAATATAAATCCTTTATTCACTGTTTCTCTTATAATTCTTAAATATATATTATAAATTATAAATTTTCTACTGTATGTCAAGAGGAGAAATAAATCTTAATTAATTGTTGTTAATTTGTAATAAAATCAGAACTTTGCATGCAGTACAGATTATTCCAGCAACATTTGCAGCAACATTGTAACATTCTAAAAATATTACATCAACATTACAATGTTCCAACAGTATTGCAATAACACTGCAAATGTTGCTGCAAACTTCTATACTATATGGCCAGAAAGTTAAAATATATTACTAATCTTTAGATGTACAGTTTTAATCTATGTATCTATGAGTTTGTGTATACATTACAGGAAAAAATTCGCAAAGCATCATGGAGGGGGCAGAAGTTACATTTTTATTCCAGTTTGGTCTGATACGTGACACGGTCACGGTCGACAGCAGCACGCTTACTCTTAAGGCCCTGAAAGATCTCGCCTGTGATTTTATAAACACCAAGTGTCCGGAGCACGGATTGAATCATCTGTTTGAGAGATTAATTTTATTCAAGCACGATTACAATTCCACAAATGTTTTGCAGTTGGTTACAAACGCTACGGAAGTAGTTGACGAGACATTAGTAGAAATCGTGTTGACTGGTAAGAAAAGCTTGTTTGTTGCAGCGTTCAAATTTTGATTTCTTATACAAGATATGTATAGTTATTAAAAAAAATTGTTTGACACATTTTAGCACAAGTGCCAAGCGAATACGTTCCCATTCGACCTCATACCTTAGCAGTGCATTCCTACAAAGTACCAACATTTTGCGATTTTTGTGGTGAAATGCTATTTGGGCTTGTTCGACAAGGTCTCAAGTGTGAAGGTAAATTTATGATAAATATTTTATAATTTTTACTAAATCAAATATGTATATTTTTTATCCAATCTTTGTCATCTAACAGTAATAAAATGCTTATTTAATTTTTTAGGTTGTGGTATGAACTATCACAAAAGATGCGTCATTAAAGTACCGAACAACTGTTCGCAAGATGCAAGTCAAAGACGGCGTAGTTCAGCCATGCTGAATGTTCCGAGATCGCCAAGTCAGGGTTCCACTAGCAGCCTGACAAGCAATACCGACGATAATCACAGTTCAAATAGTACACTTAACACAAGCCAAAATAATAGTACATTGGTATGAGCGAAAGTATATAATTTGATTTTTATTTAATGTATACACATTGGAAACAAATAAATACGGCTTGATATTTTTCTTATTCTTTTTTATTTGCGAAATTCTTTGTGTGTCTGAATAAAATGTATACTGTCTTGTAGGCAATACCAAGTATAATGGCACCAAAACAGTCCTCTTCGCCGATATTAGGAGGACGGCCCGTTTGGGTGGAGCGCGAGCTCGCAACGCGAATAAAAATTCCGCACACATTCGTAGTACACACATATACACGCCCAACTGTATGTGGGTACTGTAAAAAATTGTTAAAAGGTATATTTAAACAAGGCCTTCAGTGTAAAGATTGTAAATGTAATACACACAAAAAATGTATGGATAAAATACCAAAAGACTGTACCGGAGAAAATCCACGAGATAATATAGGTAGAATACTTTGTATATAAATTCAGACAATTTGTTTTTTGTTCGTACATACATATGTAATAAATTAAAAATGCTTCCCTAGGCGAATACACAGATAGCGGTGTTGGCAGTGAACTAGAAACCAAATGTGATATTAGAAATGAGGAAGCTGATGCTGACAGTGACACAGAATCGTCGCCTCCAACACAAGATGCATCGTTCATAAATAATGAAAATAAGATACCCAATTATTATCCAGTAAGTTATTGTTCTCTTTCCAATGAATGGTTTTGGAATTACAAAAAATGGAGATGTCATTTTTAGAAAAAGTTTTGCAACATTGAAATTATGTGATTACAGGATCATGCACGATATAACGATGACGTTGCTTATGACGAAAGTCAAAAATCGCGACGGTCGAGGTAAGTTTCTATACTATAACAGTTTGATTTTCATTTATTTAAAATTTATATTTGTCATTTTTCTAATATCTTTTTTTATTAAAAAAGCTGTAATTCTACTCCAAGTAACAACATTCCATTAATGCGAATAGTACAAAGTGTGAAGCATACTAAGAAACGTGGGTCTAAGGTATTAAAAGAAGGTTGGATGGTACATTTCACAAATCGCGATCCAGTCGTGAGTATTCATAGAAACACTGGAAATTATATAATTATTCTAGTATATTTTCTGCTATCATTTAAGTTATTAATTACTATAAATATAAATGTATAGACTTAAATGAAATTATTTATCAATCTTTTCAGAAAAAAAAACATTATTGGCGGCTTGACACAAAAGCTATAACACTATTCCAAAGCGAGAATGGTTCTAAATATTACAAGGAGATACCATTAGCTGAAATTTCAGCAATTGAAACTGCTAAAACACCTTGTTCATGTGCGTTCTTGTTTGTAAACGAATTAGAAGTTATTTCTAATATTAGTTATTATCAGTTTTAAGTGCATTTTTTCCCTCTTTTTTTTTAAGATTTTACGTGTCAGATCCAACAAGCTTTTCTAAGTTGAACTTTTTTACACACTTTGCGTACTTTATATTGTAGATATAATGCATTGCTTTGAGCTAAAAACTGCCAATGCCGATTACTATGTCGGGGAGGATCCATCATACGGAGATAATTGCGGCCAAGTCTCTCCTCCCGAAAGTGGTATCGGAGCTCACATAGCTAGATCGTGGGAAACTACTATTAGACAAGCACTTATGCCTGTAACTGTGTCGACTAGTATGTATATTTAGTTTGCTACCGTGACACTGCAAAATGATAACACAAGATATTTTTTACGCCTTTTATTAGTTTATATTTTTTAAATTATTTAATACAGTATTTTGTATTCAGATATTATTTTTGTTTTTTAGAGATAAATGATACAGAAAGCATTGTGTATGTTGAAACGAATTATTGAAATGAATGTGTTTGTGTATTATAGATCAAGAAGAACCTGAAATTACTGAACCTGAGGAAAACGTTACCGATATGTCACAATTATATCAGATCTTCCCAGATGAAGTTTTAGGATCCGGACAATTCGGCATAGTTTACGGAGGTGTTCATCGCAAAAGCGGCCGCGCGGTGGCCATAAAAGTTATCGATAAATTACGTTTTCCCACCAAGCAGGAAGCCCAACTGAAAAACGAAGTAGCGATCTTGCAAAATCTGTCGCATAGCGGAGTGGTGAATTTGGAACGTATGTTTGAAACAACAGAGCGGATATTCGTAGTGATGGAGAAGCTAAAGGGCGATATGTTGGAAATGAT